TTTTTTTTTTTGAGTTGGAGTCTCACTCTGTCACCCAGACTGGAGTGCAGTGGCCGCTCCTGGCCACTGCAGCCTCGACCTGCTGGGCTCCGGTGATCCTTCCGCCTCAGCCTTCCAAGTAGCTGGAACTACAGGCTTGCGCTACTACGCCCGGCTAATGTTTTTTTTTGATTTATTGTAGAGATGAGGTCTCGCCACGTTGCCCAGGCGGGTCTCGAACCTGTGGACTCAGGCAATTCACTCACCTCAGCCTCCCAAAGGCATGGGATTACAGGCTGAGCCACCGAGCCTGGCTAGCTGTATTCTTATTAAACCTCAAAATATCATGTTTGATCATGCTTGAACTGACATAATTCACTGACATAGTGTAACCTATTCTACAATACTTTCTATGAATAAAATAAATTCAATTTCTATAATAAGTAGAAAAAACCCTATACTAACTGTAGCTAAAAACCAGTTTAAAAGAAAGCAGCCTAGTCCAAAGTACGTGCTGGGCCCTTAGGAATGTGGCCCAGCCCAAGGTTCATGCTGGCCTTTAGGAATGTGGCCCAGCACAAAGTTTGTGCTGGGCCATTTCTGGTAGCTCTAGATATTTATCTATGTTATTAAGATTGAAACAGTACTTTGTATATATATATACTAATTTCTGCAAATATACTATTAAATCTTAAAAGAAGTTTGTACCATATTAAAGGCTTCCAAATGTGACCTGAGTTTGAATTATGTTAAATTTAAAGGCGAAACCACAGTCTGTGAGAAACGGGAACAATGGACTCCTAAAGTAAGCCATGCCTGTCGAAATCTCAGAACTTCATGATTAGATCATCGAAGTCCCTGCTAGTGGAAGGTGCCAAAACAGCAAAGAAGGGAACAGGGAATGGGCCTTCAGCTCCTGAACTCGTCCTAGCGGTCTCAGGGTCCACAGCCTGCCTGGATCCTGAATGCTCAGGCAGGCCTCCACGGCTGGCTCCCAACAATTATCATTACTATCATTTGCTTCCATGCCAATGTTAATTTTTTCTAACTTATCCGTATAAAAGCCTACACCTAACTCATCTTCACTGCTGCTTATAACTCTCACTTTTGTCTTTTCATTTTGCCATTGTTCTGCAAACTAAATAAATGGATTAAAAATTTCTAATTGTAAGTTATAAAAATCACAAAATGAAATTTATCAAGATTATTACTTTTCCAATTTTACTTTTTTTTTTTTTACTTAGGGTAGATATATTCAGTCTGTGTTGCTCAATACTTCAATACAATCTGCCTGCAACTTCAAAAGTCTTTTTTATGGCTATAGTAACTTGCTTATCTTTTCAAGTTATGCCATATGATACAAAGTGTATACCCACAGCTTTCTTATAAAATGCTCTTTATTGCTTTCTGTTACAAAGAAGTGTTGGCACAACTGTGAAAGCACTTCATACATGTTTCTGTGTGACACCAGGTGATTTTTTGAATCTCAGTATATATTCCATCTCTTTGCTTTCTCATGCAATTTGAATGGAAAACATCAAGGAAACATACATTTTTGAAAAATTGTGCTGGCATATTTGTCCTGTATAATCACCAGCAACATTTGAGTGGTTTGATAGATTTACAATGTCCTTTCAGAGGGGACATTCAAGTGCAAACGGTTAAAAAAAAGGAAAGAGGTCAGGTGCAGTGGCTCATGCCTGTAATCTTAGCACTTTGGGAGATCAAAACAGGAGGATTTTGTGAGCCCAGAAGTTTGAGAACAGCCTGGACAACATTGTGAGAATATATATATATATATAAAATTTAACCAGGCATGGTGGTATGTGTGTATCTGTTGTTGCAGCTACACAGGAGGCTGAGATAAAAGATCGCCTGAGCCCAGCAGGTCAAGGCTGTGATGGCCGTGAGCATGCCACTGCACTCCAGCTAGGGTGACAGAGTGAGACTCCGACTCAAAAAAAAAAAAAGAAAGAAAAGAAAAAGCAAAGGAACTAGATTATTTTGAAAAAGAAAAATAAAGCTGGAAGAATCTGACTACTCAATTTTATGATTATAATCACTATATGACAATAATTCCTATAGTGAATCATTAGTGAAGTGATAAACACAACAGAGTAAAGAAATAGATATAAGAATAAACAACAAATTTTTACAAATATGCAAAATTCATTTAATGGAAATAGGACACCGCTTCCAATAGTTTTGAATCAACTGGACTATAAGCTAAGAAAATGAACTTTAACTCTCACCCCAAATATAAAGACTAATTCAAATGGAATATAGTTCTAAATATTAGAAACAAAACCATTATTTTGTAAAAAGGAGAAAAATAATCATGAACTAGACTAATCAAGGAATACTTAGATATAACACCCACGCTGCAATCCATAAGAGAAATTAAAATCTTTTTCTCTGACAAAAAAGATAAGCCACATCTAGGGAAAAATATTTGTAAATAACATGTCGAACAAAACTTTTATTCAGCATATATGAACAACTCTCTAAGCCAGGCACAGTGGCATGTGTAGTTCTAGCTACTCAGGAGGCTGAGAAAAAAGGATCACTTGAGGTCAGAAGTTCAAGCCTATGAATAGCCACTGCATTCCAGCCTGAGCAACATAGTGAGACTTTGTCTCTTAAAAAATAAATAAAAATAAACTGGGAGCCGTGACTCATGTCTGTAATCCCAGCACTTTGGGAGGCAGAAGTGAGAGTATTGCCTGAGCTCAGGGGTTCAAGACCAGCCTGAGCAACATGGTGAGGCCTCATCTTTACAATAAATTTTTAAAATTAGCTGGGTGTGGTGGTGTGTGCCTGTGGTTCCACCTACTTGGAAGGCCGAGGCAGATCACCTGAGCTTAGTAGATCAAAGCTGCGGTGGCCATGAGCATGCAACTGCACTCTAGCCTGGGCAACAGAGTGAGACTCCCACTAAAAAAAAAAAAAAAGACATCAGGGAAATTCAAATGAAGGTTATAATGACATACCAATACACACATAATAGAATGAATAGGATAAGATAAAATACACTGACAACAGCAAGAATGTGGAACTGAACCTGTCATATATTGCTGGTGGGCAGTGAAACAGCCACTCTGGAATATAGTTGGTTGGTTTCTTATAAAAGGTAAACATACATTAACCTTAGGAGCCATAAGTTGTTCTCTTCAGTAATTATCCTAGAGTGATGAAAAAAATCACACATAGCTGGGCTCTGTGGCTTATGCCTGTAATCCCAGCACTTTGGGAGGCAGAGGTGAGAAGATTGTGAGTCCATGGGTTCAAGATTAGCCCAGGCAACTTGGTGAGACCTCATCTCTACAATAAACCAAAACATTAGCTGAGTATGGTGGCATGTGCCAGTGGTCCCAGTTACTTGAAAGGCTGAGGTAGATCACCTGAGCCCAGTAGGTCGAGGCTGTGGTGGCTGTTGAGCATACCACTGCCCTCCAGCCTGAGCAACAGAGTGTGACTCCAACTCCAGGAAAAAAAAAAAAAAGGAAAAATTACACACAAAGTCACTGTACACAAAAGTTCACAGTATTTTATTTGTAGTGAGAAAAACAACAAAAACTAGAAACAATCCTGTCCTTCAGGGGATGAAGAGATGAACAAACTGTAGTATATCTAAGTCATAGATTACTAGTCACCAATAAAAATAAAACAACCATTGATATACAGACCATCTTGGCTGGATCTTAGGTTAAACTGCTTTAGTTCCAATAGCCAATAACAAAAGGGTACTGGTTATAGCATTTCATTTTTATAACATTCTATTAATGACAAAATTAAAGATGAACAAACCTCTGTTCCATGGAAGGAATGGGAAAAAAATTTTAAATGTTTTAAAACTATCTTGATCAAAAAGATAAAAAAATTAGCATGGAGTCTGTGTTGATGCAACATTCTGAATCTTGATTGTGGAGGTGGTTACATGAACCAATACATGTAATGGGAGGATTTTGGGGAAGGGTAAGAGTCTCATTCTGTCACCTAGGCTGGAGTGCAGTGGCACGCTCACAGCCACGGCAACCTGACCTGTTAGGCTCATGCAGTCCCTCTACCTCAGCCTTCCAAGAAGCTGGTACTATAGGTGCATAGCACCACACCCAGCAATTTTTTTTTTAATTGTAGAGATAAGGTCTCACCATGTTGCCCAGGCTGGTCTCGAGCTCCTGGACTCAATAAATCCTCTTGCCTTGACCTCCCAAAGTGTTGGTACTATAAGCATAAGCCAACCCACCACACCAGGATTTCTTAAAATCAAATAATAACCAAACAAAAATCTGTGCATATTAAAACAAGTGAACTTAAAATAAATTCTTTAGTTTTAACAGTATTGTCACAATTTTACTTTCCTTTATCTGATAATATATGGTTATTTATTAATTTATTTTTGAGTAGGAGTTTCACTCTGTTGCCCAGGCTGGAGTGCGTTGGCGTGCTCATGGCCACCAGTCTCACCTGTTAGGCCCAGGCGATCCTTCTGCCTCAGTCTTCCAAGTAGCTGAAACTATAGGCAGGCACCATCTTGCACAGCTAATTTTTTTATTTATTGTGGAGACAAGGTCTTACCAAGATGCCCAGGCTGATCTCGAACCCCTAGGCTCAGGCAATTCTCTCACTTCTGCCTCCCAAAGTGCTGGGATTACAAGCGTGAGCCACTGTGCTCAGCTTATGTATGGTTATTTATGTAAGGTGTTATCTTTGGAAGAAGCTGGGTTAAGGGCATTCAGGAACTATGGGATATTTCAGTAATATTTTGAAAATTTAAACTTATTTTAAAATAAAAACTTACAAGAATATTCATATTAATTTAATAACATCATGCTACTTATAAACACATCCAAATATGTTCAATTACACTTATGAATTTATGAGTTCAATATACTGTATTCAGTTTTATTTTGAAGTACTTCAAGTATTCTGAAATAACAAAATTTAGACCCAAAGAAATGCAAGGGTTAATCATATAATGAGGCACAGAATAATCCTGTATCGTATAGATTAAAATGTACTTATGATGAGAGGGAATCACAGTTAAAAATGTATAAAATCAGAGACAAGGCAACTAGAAATATGGCTCAAGATAACCTTTTCCCAAATGTACATGAAGTGTATTATCCACGAAGGTTACACTTGTGACAGAAAGCTTTCACCTGTCACTTTGTGAAGGCCTCTTTCCTTAAGTTCTCTGCTATTTTGCTAATGATCTTCTGCACTAAATGTGCCCATAACTTTTTTTCTGCATAACTTCCTGAAAAATGATAAGTCAAAACATTTTACTGTAAACCCTGCCATACTCGTTGCCATAGGAAAGTACGTCTCTAGTGTAAACTCTCTCAGTCTATTCAGGTCTTATTTCTGGACACAGGCTTTCTTGTAATTATTATATTTCTATCAATCAATAGTTCATTCATGATCTATAAATGATCACTTATGATAGGGTCTATTTTCCACCAAAGGCTTTTCTAGTCTGCCACATTAATAGATTTCTCAGTATACAATTTTTAGACATAATATCCTAAAATTTTTTCTCAAGACTATAAGAGAGGTTTTTTTGGTATATTTTCTTTCACATAAAGCATGAGATAATTGACCACTAAATACACAACCACATCTCTGCCTACATTAAGTTATTCTTCTTTCACATACTATAATATCCTGAGGCAAGAGGCTTTCTGAAAATGACTACCTATGAATTCGCTTGTGTTTAACAAGGATAGACAAGTGAGCAAAAGTTTTCCCACAATCACTACATCCATACGGCCTCTCTCCTGTATGTTTTCTTTGATGAACATTGAGCCCTGACTTCGTAGTGAAGGCTTTCCCACATTCACCACATTCAAAAGGTTTCTCTCCCGTGTGAATTCTCTGATGTGTAATGAGATCATTTTTGCGCAAAGAGAATTTTCCACACTCATTACATGCAAAGGACGTCTTTCCTGTGTGAAATCTCTGATGTTGTATGAGGCATGTCTTCTTCCTGAAGGTCTTATCACACTCATTGCATTTGTATGGTTTCTCTCCAGTATGAGTTTGCTGATGTACACCTAGACTACTCTTCATGCTGAAGCCCTTTCCACATTCATTGCATACATATGGCTTCTCCCCAGTATGAGTTCGCTGATGTGCAATGAGCATACTTTTCCCAGTTAAGCCTTTGCCACATTCACTGCATATATAGGGTTTCTCTCCTGTATGAGTGCGTCGATGTACATTAAGATGACTCTTCTCAGTGAAGCCTTTTCCACATTCACTGCATATGTAAGGTTTCTCTCCTGTGTGAGTTCGTTGATGTCTCATTAGCCGGATCTTTGCTGGAAAGCCTTTTCCACATTCACTGCATATGTAGGGTTTCTCTCCAGTGTGAGTTCGCTGATGTCTGATGAGAGGGCTTTTCAAGGTGAAACCTTTCCCACACTCATTGCATACATAGGGTTTCTCTCCAGTATGAGTTCGCTGATGTACAATGAGACAGTGCTTCATTGAAAAGCCTTTTCCACATTCACTGCAGATATACAGTTTCTCTTCTGTATGAGTTTGCTGATGTGTGATAAGACTGTGCTTCAAGGTGAAGCCTTTCCCACATGTATTGCATATAAAGGGTTTCTCACCAGTATGAGTTCGATGATGTGCAATAAGACGCCTCTTCTCGATGAAGCCTTTTCCACATTCAATACATATATAAGGTTTCTCTCCTGTATGAGTTTTCTGATGTGTAGTGAGACTAAACTTTGTAGAGAAGGCTTTCTTGCATACATCACATTCATGGGGTTTCTCTCCTGTATGAGTTCGCTGATGATAAATGAGCCGACACCTCTTGCTAAAGGCTTTCCCACATTCACTGCATACATGGGCTTTTTCTGTGTTGTGAGTTCTCTGTTGCTTAATGATCTGGGACTTGTTGATGGGTTCTACAATTACAGGGAATTTAATTTCGGCATAAAATTGTTCATGGTTAGCATGGACAAGGGATTTCTCAACTCCATTAAATTCAGCAGAGTTCTTTAGGCCACAGCTCTTGTCCTGGATTTTAAAACTTAAATTTGATTTCAAAGGTTTTTCATATAAGCCAAACAAATCACAAACTTGCTTTAGCTGGAAATGACTTTTGTTTTGGTTAAGAATATTTCCAAACACATTATGTTCATGGCATTGTCCAACACTCTTCTGAATACTTTGATTTTGCAAGTGATGCTGCAGAGGAGCATCAGTTTTCCCAACTTCTAGGGGAAAAAAAAGAACAGTGAATCATTTCATCATCTGGCCTTAGAGTAAAATTATTTTTAAAATCTGTTGGTGTAAGATGACTCTTAAGTGACAACAGTATTACAGCATAAAGAAAATTTCATGAATAAATATCCTTGTCTCTTGCACACTGGTAAAATATAATTATATAAACACACCAAGAAGTAAAAGCAGTGAAGGGTACAAACAAGGTTAGATAATGCACAATATAGATCTGGCTGCTTTTAAATTGGTCTTTAAAAAACATACGGTAGTCAAATATAAACAGGTAACTTTTTGCAGACAACTCCAGCATTTGGTGGGACACCAGACCATAGAAACTAGGGAACTATCAGACACACAAGTTGATCCCAAATCTGCACTTATTTATCTTACAAATATTTGTTAACTGATATCTATGTATAAGTCATTATACTCAAGTTTGGGATACACAATTATAGTCCTTATTTTCACAAAGATTTAATTCTAGTTATGAAAAAATACATTAACAAGAAGGCAAAGAAATGAACAAGGTATCTGCAGTTTGTGAAATGTAGTAGTTAATGGAGATATGAGTGATGTAAAAAATTAAAATGTAGTTGAAGATACGGTTCACTAATGAGGTCAATGGGAGGGGCAAAAAAGAGATAATCAAAATGAAGACTCAAAGATTATTCCAAAAATTAAATGGCTTTGGCCAACAGGTAGGGGGAAAAAACCTCAGGAGAAAATTAGGAATATTACTGATGTCGAGAATCAAGGGAGAATCTAGCATGCATTGTAAAACATATAAAGTTTAAGATGATTACTATATATCAAGTACAAATATAAAGAAATTGGTTAAATATATAAATACTGAAAACAGGTCTTATCTGGAAATAACAATGTGAATGTCATCAACATACACAAGTTATTCAAAGGAGGAAAACTAGATAACATTGTATCTGGAAACTTGTAGAAAAATAGAAGTAAAGGCATAGGGTCAAGGATCTAGTCATTCCAACCTGTAAAATTTTGGAATTTTTTAAAGCCCACCAAAATAAACCAAACACTGATTATTGTGACCAGGTGATCAAGTGGAGACTCAGATGTATAAAACAAATATGTCAGAATGATGAGTAACAATGTGACTTGAAAACTGCTAACAGAGACTTAAGTGTTCTCATCACACACACAAAAAAATCAATATATGAGGTAGGTACTTGTTAATTAGCTTAGTTTATTCCACAATGTACACATACTTTAAAACAATCTTGTACATGATAACTATATACAAATTTTATTTGTATAGATTTACCAACTAAAAAGAGGTCATAAAGTTAAAAAAATATGTGAGATCCTCGGCATTGATTGCAAGTGTAACAGACTACTAGTGATTATCTAAAAATTCACTTTTCTTCTTCATTCTATAGACCATAATTAAAATCATTATCCCAAAGCACCAAGCTCAAGTTTAGATGAAAGATTGTATAGTTAAGACACCAACTGATGACCTAACTGCATCATATTCTCCCATGTTCCTACAGAAAAAGGGAAAAACATGTGCAGTAAAATGTTAAATCAGCAGGGTTGGGTTATTCCATCTCACATATTCCAAAGAAAAAACTGGCCTCGACTGGTTCCTGGACCATAACCTCTGGGTCCCTGGAATATTTTGCCTGATAAGAGTATCTTTTTATGCTTGAAGCCTTGGGCCATACCAGACAGTTTATGCTAGCAATTAGATTTATAGTGGACATGTCATTTGGTATGCCTGAAGCTTTGGGCCATGTTGTATTATTTTGACTTTAGGGGACTAGACACACAGGGCTTAGGTGAGCTTCCCTGACTAACATATCAAACATCGTTGCTGAGAAAATTAAGCACTGTTTTTGCAACTCTTCAAGTACAGGAAAACTAGAAGCTTGTATCTAGTTTCCTCTGGATTCCTTCCTCTGCATTTTTTATCTTTGATAATTTAAATTTGTATGATTTCACTGTCACAAATGGTAACCATAAAAACAGTTCTCTCTCTTCCCCATTAATGTCTACCTTCTATGTAGAAGGCAAAGTAATCCATTTTGAACAATTAATTATAACATGCCACTCTTCAACTCAAATCTCTCTACTGTTTTCTCAACTCATTTGGAATAAAATCAAGGCCATTAATGCACTTGACAGGTAATATGTGACCTCTGTACCAAAACCTCTAATTCCTACTCCACTGTCCTTATCTCCAGGCACTTTCACTTTCAGTCACTCTACCCAATCAAGACTCCTATAAGTGTATCAAACACATTACAAACCTATAACTTTGAACTTCCCATTGACTCACATTTGGAACACTCCTCACCCAGGGAGCCTACTCACATCTGCCATCTAGCTGCTCTAAGGCACCAAAGAGTTGTTCCTACCCTCCAATCACAGTGCTAAGCCCCAACACCTCCTATCTACTAGCTGCTTTAATTTTCCTTATAGCAATTTTACTCCAAATGTTATTAATGTATTTGCTTATTATTGATTCTATGGGTACTTACACTGAGAATGAAAGCAATTTGAAGACTGAGGCCAAGATTTCCTTATTCTTTTTTGTACTGCTATTACCTTTGAATATACTGTTATCAAAACACAGATTTTTAAAGGAATAAATTAAGGAGGAAATGACATGTATGAAGCACACTGAAGAATGTTTAGGAAGAGAACAGAAACTCTTTATAATCAAGATAATATCATATCACAAAGATCACTAAAAGAGAAACAGCAATTTAGTAAGAGAGGAAACATGATTAACTGGGACCAGGCATCACCAGAATATGATAGAAAAATGATCAATTTTATTTCTATATTCTAGCAATGAATAATCTGAAAATATAATCAAGAAAACAACAGGCCAGGGTCAATAGCTCAGCCTATAATCCCAGCACTGTGGGAGGCTGAAGTGAGGGGATTGCCTGAGCCCATGGATTTGAGACCAGCCCGGGCAACTTGGTGAGACCTCGTCTCTACAATAAATCAAAAATTAGCTGGGCGTGGTAGCATACGCCTGTAGTTCCAGCTACTTAGAAGGCTGAGGCAGAAGGATTGCCAAAGCCCAGCAGGTTGATGATGGGGTGGCTGTGAGTGTACCACTGCACATTGGACAACAGAGACTCCAGCTCAAAAAAAAAAAAAAAAAGAAAGAAAGAAAGACTACATTAACTACAGACCCAAAAAGAAAGCTATACTTAGGAATAAATTTAACACAGAAAATCGGAAAAAACTTATATACTAGAAGCTACAAAGTATTGTTTTTGTTTTTGTTTTGTTTTGTTTTTTGAGTTGGAGTTTCACTCTGTCGCCCAGACTGGAGTGCAGTGGCCACTCCTGGCCACCGAAGCCTCGACCTGCTGGGCACCGGCGATCCTTCTGCCTCAACCTTCCAAGTAGCTGGAACTACAGGTGCGCACTACCATACCCGGCTAATTTTTTTTTTAATTTATTGTAGAGATGAGGTCTAACCAAGTTGCCCAGGCGGGTCTCGAAACCGCGGGCTCAGGCAATCCACTCACCTCAGCCTCTCAAAGGCGCAGGATTACAGGCTGAGCCACAGAGTCCGGCTACAAAGCATTGTTAAAAGACACTAAAAACCTAGTAAGATGTAAAAATGTCTGATGTCTGATGTTCATGGATCAGAACAAGTAATATGATTAAAATGGCAATACTCCCCTAATTTGTATACAGAATTGATGTAATTCCTAACAAAATTCTAGCCAGATTTTCTATAAAAAATCACAAGCTGATTCTAAAAATTTTTTTTTTTTTTTTTTTTTGAGTTGGAGTCTCACTCTGTCGCCCAGACTGGAGTGCAGTGGCTGCTCCCGGCCACCGCAGCCTCGACCTGCTGGGCTCTGGCGATCCTTCCGCCTCAGCCTTCCAAGTAGCTGAAACTACAGGTGTGCACTACCACGCCCGGCTAATTTTTTGATTTATTGTAGAGATGAGGTCTCGCCAAGTTGCCCAGGTGGGTCTCGAACCCGCAGGCTCAGGCAATCCACTCACCTCAGCCTCCCAAAGTGCTGGGATTATAGGCTGAGCCACTGAGCCTGGCTTGATTCTAAAATTTAAATAGAAAGTCAAAGGACTCAGAATAGTCAAAACAATCCTGAAAGAGAAGAACAATGTTAAAAGACTCACATTTCCCAATAACAAAACTTACTACAAAGTTACAGTAATCAACACTATTTGAGAATATGCATTTATATATAAAATTTTTTTTTTTTTTTTTTTTTTGAGCTGGAGTCTCACTCTATCACCCAGACTGGAGGGCAGTGGCACGCTCCCGGCCACTGCAGCCCCAACCTGCTGGGCTTCGGTGATCCTTTCGCCTCAGCCTTCCAAGTAGTTGGAACTACAGGCACGCGCTACCACGCCCAGCTAATTTTTTTATTTATTGTAGAGATGAGGTCTGGACAAGTTGCCCAGGCATGTCTCGAACCTGCAGGCTCAGGCAATCCACTCACCTCAGCCTCCCAAAGCACCAGGATTACAGGCTGAGCCACCGAGCCCGGCTTTATATATAAAGTCAATGTTCCAAAATTGATGTTGCGATGGTTACACAACTAGGTGAATGAACTAAAAACAATTTACTTGTACATTTAAAAAGGGAAAAATCCGCATTATCTGTGCATTATAGCTCAATAAAACTATTTAAAAATGTGTTGAGAAAACAAAAGCTATAGGAAAACAAATGCAGTGGAAACATCTAATATGAACAATAGAAAGAGAAAGTTCAGAAATAGTAAAACAAAGAAAGTAATTTTCAGGACACAAGTTCTGACCTGGTTTGGGTAAGAAATAATATAAGATACTAATTATTCACTCAAAATAGTAGAGAACTTTTACAAAGAGAGGCTGCTGCGGTGTCCTCAGACATCCTTACTGCTTCAGCATCTGCTCTAAGTGAGAAGAACATGACATCTGTGTCTGCCCACCTTGCTGGTTCTCTCACTAACCTGAACAGACTCGACTGCAGACTTCATCTTCTGTTGTCCATTGTTCTTCTCCTTGTTCCAACTTAGAGAGTATATTTGGTTTGCTGGCTTCATACCCTGTTCGTGGAAAATGATAAAAGACTTAGACATATGGAATTGGGTTGGGGTATGTCAAGAAGAAAAATGTTACATTTTAAGAACTAAACAAATTTGTTCACAGTGGGGAAAAAAAGAAGTAAACAGACTTCACATCTGTAATGACTCTTCTGTGAGTCAAGAAAAGAATCTGAGAATTCATCACTTCAGAGTATTGCAGGTTTTCTAAAGAGTTAAGCAGCAGAGAGAGAAAGGCCACTAACTGGGAAAGCCCCTAAGTGATACAGGGTTGCAGCTGTCCTTACCTAGTGACACAAGGTTGCTGTAGTTCTCCAACATCACATCCCGGTACAGGTCCTTCTGATCTGGGCCCAGAAGCTGCCATTCCTCCCAGGTGAAATCCAAAAGCACATCGTCAAATGTCAGGGATCCCTGTAATAACACAGTCATGTTTAATGAAGTGATACTCTTTTGGTGATATGGACAGAATGTAAAGGAAGTTATTGTTGCTGATTTTCACCATGTAGGAAACTGGCATTTTCTTTTCTTAATACACTCTGATAGAACAAGAATTCTAGTAATATATCAGTAATTTTTTTCATCCAGTTAACAAAGTTGAAAATTCAAAGAAGTTTCTATAATATGTAGTCATCAAATCCTCTTGATAATGCAAGAACATGTGCAATATACAGCATCTATTTGCCTATACCAAACTAGTTGTATGTACATGCTAGTTATAAGTGGATGGAGAATACAGATTGTTAAACTCATAATGAGCCTTGAGCCAATATAAAAATCAGTAATGAAGAGATCACAGACCACTCAATGAAATCCAAATCCAAGACAATACATACTAAATAACTATGTTTAATATTCTAAGCAGAATAAAAGAAACTATGAGACAAGATGTATGAGACAAGAGCTTATTAGATAATTAAGCAAATTTGGAAAAAAAATCCTTGAGAGAATATATATGCTGACACATATATTATACAGACAAATGCATATGTATATATGTATTATCAGACAAGATTAATAACATACTAAATGCAATAAAGAAGCAGGGTGCGGCGGCTCACACCTATAATCCCAGCACTTTGGGAGGCAGAGGCGAGAGGATTGCCTGATCCCAGCCTGGGCAACATGGAGAGACCTTGTCTCTATAATAAATAAATGAATAAATAGTCAGGTGAGGTGGTGAGTACCTGTAATTCCAGCTACTTGGAAGGCTGAGGTGGAAGGATAGCCTAAACCCAGCAGGTCAAGGCTGCAGTGACTGTGAGTGTACCACTGCACTCCAGCCTGGGCAACAGAGTGAGACTCCCACTCAAAAAAAAAAAAGAAAAGAAAAAGAAAACCATAAAAAAACAGCTGTAGGAAATCTCTTTCATTTATGAGAAGGCTATAGTTAAGATAACCACCTACCACACACATCACCTCTGTGAAGAACTATGTGAGACTCAGAATAGTGTGCCTTGAAACATTAATATCCTTCAAGGAGCCTACAGTTGTTAAAAAATTGTAGGAACTTGGTCTGATCTTTTGCAGTTGATGTGACTTAGCATGATTCTTTTATGTGGCTATCAGACAGATGCAAGTTGGCAGCAAATATAGCCTGCAGAGCCCTGCACAGTCATATATATTATGTTCTAGCATGAATAAAACAGTATGAGTTCAATGAACAATAATCCCTGATCCTACTTTACTCCAATATTTCTCCAGATACTGCTAATTTCTATTTATATTTATAATTGCACTGATTTTTACAAGTCTCTAAAAATCCACTAGAGAATAAAAGGAAGAATACAACAAACCAAAAGTCACCTGGGCCTGCATCATTTTCTCCGAAATTTGAGAAATGGTCACTAACTCAGATGTTCTGTCTTTGTCTCTTCTAGATCAGCTCTAAATTTCTGTTCAAAAAATCTCAATCTCCAATCATGGATGTCCCCAGAAATGATGATACCCAAGTCGTGGTATCTCTGCCTCCTTCTTTGACTTGACTTCTCTTGTTTTCAGCACCTGTGGGCTGAAGAGCAAATTACTCTGAGTGGTACATTCTCTTTAGGGCTGGATGTTATCACTGTTGTTGAACACTCACCTTATCGAGACCCCAAAATATCTATCTGTTCTTTTATCTAGTGCAGAAGATTTATACCTGGGCTAATGAAACATAACATTCTGGATGTCTGGAAGGTGCATTTTCTGTAAAGTTGAAGTCTTATGACTCCTGCAAGCATGTTGGAAAGGGAACCATCGCAACATGATGCCCAAGCACCAGGGAAATCACCAGGCAGATCAATTTTAGCAAAGAGGTCATTCAGACTGTTAGGATTGCATACATTTTTTCTTTCAAGTCACATGTGTCCATCTACCTTTACAAAAGTCTTTTTACATTCTCTACTTTGAGAACATCATTCTAAGCAAATAATAAGCACTACATTATTTATCATTACCATCCATGTTTTAATACCCTATATAGCATTATCAGTATAAACCTATAAAGAATACTCACCAGAAATATACTTGAGGAATAAAACTAAAATAAAGGCATCTTTAGGCCAACCAGAGAGCATTTTTCATCAGAAGACCTGTATTACAGCAAAGGCTAATGAGAATTCTTCAAGCCAAGGAAAAAAAGCCCCCAGTATAAGGAGAGGAGCAACAAGAAGTGAAAACGAACAAAACTGGTAAGATATGAAGTAAAGCCTGAAGTTTTGATACATAACATGTTAAACTATAACATAAAGAGCTATAAATTAGGATAGTGAATGAAGAAGCATTTTAAGATATCTGCATAGTAGTAAAAGCATACAAAGTACTACCACAACATGACAAATGAAGTCTGTATGTTATTCATAATCTATAGTGTCAGCTATAAAACGAATATTTTTTTAAAACATATATTTCTAGGTCAGATGTGGTGACTCACACCTATAATCCCAGCACTTTGGGAGGACAAGGTGGAAGGATCACTTAAGCCCAGGAGTTTGAGACCAACCTGGGCAACATAGTAAGACCCTCTCTACACACATACACACACACACACACACACACACACACACACACACACACACAATTATATATATATATCCAGGAGTGGTGGCATGAGCTGATAGTCCCAGCTACTCAGGAGGCTAAAGCCAAAGGATCGCCTGAGTCCAGGTGGTCAAGACTGCAGTGAGATAGGATTGTGCCACTGTACTCTAGCCTGGGCAACTGAGTGAGATTCGGACTCAAAATTTAATATATAATATAATATGATATAACATATAATATAACATAATATAATCAATACAATATAATCAATCAATATAATAGAAATTATTCTCATGTTAAAAGAGGTCTATGGTTTCTGTGACAACTACTTAACTCTACCACTGTAGCTCAAAAATGGCCATATCCAAAAAATTGACAAATGAGTGTGGCTGGGTCCCAATAAAACTTTATTAACAAAAACAGACATGGGAGCAGATTTAGTCCATGGGCTCCAATTATCCAACCTTGAGTTCATGCAGAAAAGTCGTACGATTATCTAAACAGAGGGACAGTAACAGAGTAACAGTGTCCAGGGTCTGGGCCACCTGTTTTGGAAATAGTCTCCTGAAAACACAGTTAATCTAATTCATGACATCGGATCTCTGGCTGTTTTGACATTACAATGGCAGATTTGAGAATTTCAGTTTAGACATATTACTCAATGCAGTACAGTTTAAAAAACTAATGAATAAAAGAAGGAGCAAATTATTGGTATTTGCCTAATATGTCTATATACGTCTTTAGTCAAGTGGTTGATTACAAAATTTAAATCAATTTCTCTAGTTTCAGTTCTGTGGGAATTTTGTTTTTGTTTGTTTGAGACAGGGTCACACTCTGTCAATCAGCCTGGAGTGCTGTGGCATGATTCTAGTTAACTGTAGCCTCGACCTCCTGGGCTCAAGTAATCCCCCTACCTCAGCCTCCCCAGTAGTTGAAACTACAGATGTGAGCCACTACAGCCAGCTAATTATTGTTATTTTTAAAAATAGAGATGAGATCTCATACTCCTGGGCACAAGTGATTCTCCTGTTTTGGACTGTCAAAGTGCTGGGATTAGAGGAGTGAACCACTGTGCCCAGAAAAAGTTTTTTAAATTTAAGAAATAATAATAAATTTTTTAAATGTACATAGAAAAATTCTATGCCAGTCTAAAGCATACACAAGTCAAGTGTCAATGTTCAAGAACAGAACATTTCTTGAGAATAACTTAACATTCTATATTGAAAACTGCCAATAAAGGTTTCCTTGGTAATCTAAAACTCCATTTCTATGAAAAAATTATACATGCGCGCACGCACACACACATACACACACACACATATGTAAAAGTTTGCTGGCAAGTCATTCTTACTTTTTTGGGGGGGGAGAGTTGGTTTGGTTTTTTTGAGTTGGAATCTCACTCTGTCACCCAGGCTGGAGGGCATTGGCATGCTCCCAGCCACTGCAGCCTTGACCTGCTGTGCTCAGGAGATCCTTCAGCCTCAGCCTTCCAAGTAGCTGGAACTACAGACACGCAACACTATGCCCAGCTAATTTTTTAATTTATTGTAGAGTTGAGGTCTCACCAAGTTGCCCAGGCTGGTCTTGAACCCGTGGGCTCAAGCAATCCTCTCACCTCTGCCTCCCAAAGTGCTGGGATTACAGGTGTGAGCCACCACCCCAAGCCAGCCTTCTAAATTCTTGCCCGGACCTAGTTTTACTTTATTCATTGGATTTTTCATAAGCATACCTATGAAATCAGAAAAAATATCAGTATTCCACATTTTAAATAGAATTTCTGGTAGGTCAGTGACAACTTCATGGCTTTAAAAGTTTTTAATTACTACAAAAATAAGAGAAACAAGGAAGTAGGAAGGGAGAGAAAAAAGAGTTATAAATCCACCCTTTACACAAGATAACTGTGAGGAAGGTATTTTACCATCTCTTTTTTATTAGAAAACAGGAGCAAGTCATGCAAATCACAATATGAGCAAGAAGCAGTATCAGGATTGAAAAACCAGGTTGGAAGTGGTGGGATTGGCAGTTGAGGAAACTGCCAGGAGAGGGAAGGGCACACCTCATTAACAAGGGTACCTGCATAATGAACATTTGTATACCTAACCGTGAATTGCACCCCACATCTTTAAAATAAAGAAGGACAAAAAAAGGGAAACCAGGTTTGTTCCATCCCAAAGTTCACTTTCATCCTACTATATACCTAGCCAAAATTATTTGTTAATAATATGTCTACTTATTAAGCAAAGAAAATAAGGCAACCAAATATAAATATCTAAAATTATCTTTTGTTATAGAAAAGTATGAAGAAAAGGGAATTAGAAAACAATAACACACTACAATAAAAGTCAATAGTCTAGACTGGAGACGAAAGGCAGGAAAACAAACCCACGGGTAAATTCATACACATAAAATGTTCCCATAAATAACACCTAAATATCTTTAAACGTTTCACCCCATTCAAATATAAGTCAAATTTAATGTGAATGCACTGATAATGCCACCAGTTCAAACATTAAAAACAACTTGTAAATGTTTGTTACACCTTGTAAAGTGAAAAAGAAAATAGTAGTACACAATTTATATACTTATGAATATTAAGCACATAACATGCAAGTCTATAATTGAAATATTTTAAAAATTTGAAAAGGGTTATCTTTGAGAAACAGAACTTACCATGACAGAGATGGTATCTTTCTTGGCTAGAAAGAATCTGAAAGGAAATATCCAAGAAGAATATGCTGGAAACTTGCAGGACCAAGGGTAAAAGCTGCATCTTAAATATAAAACATTCTACTTTTATTTTATTTTAGAGTTGGAGTCTCACTCTGTTGCCCAGGCTAGACTGCAGTGGCACGGTGGATCACAGCTCCATGCAGCCTCAAATTCCTGGACTCAGGCGATCCTCTCACCTCAGCCACTCGAGTAGCCGGGACTAAAGGCACACACCACCACACCCTGTTAATTTGTTGACTTTTGGTAGAGAATAAGTGTACCTATGTTACCAAGGCTGGTATCGAATTCCTGGCCGCAAGCAAACCTCCTGCCTCGGCCTCCCAAAATGCTGGCCTTACGGGCGAGAGCCACTGTACCAGGCCACAAACATACCACTTTTAGATATGCTAGGCCACTGACCTTGCAAAACACTTCAACCTCTGAGGGATCAAGAGTACGGGATGATGTGGGCTGGTAGAGAAGGTTATGGACAGAAAGGGAACGTTCACGTCCCCATCAAGCCTCTTCCAACAGCGAAGACTGGATGGAGTTCAGCATTCCCCCCCCCCCCCCCCCCCCC